TAAATAACATGCTGACTAATACAGCCACCATATTTCTTATTTAAGCAGAATGATGTTCCAAAGCTTTGGCTGTCATGATCGCCTTGTGCTGCTGACTCTGACCTTTCCAGACACGAGTTTATTGTTTAGGTGTCTAAGGTTAGAGAGCTGAAGCTTTGTGGCACTTTTGCTTCTACCTTAAAATACTCGGTAAGCTGTAACACTGCCATAGGAGGGGTTATCTTTATAATTTTGATGGCCTAGTTTGTCCACTGCTGACATTGTGATGCTCTATTTCTTGAGCTTGCTTTCAATTGTTCTGCTTTAGCAAATTATTAATTACCAGCTATACTTACAAATAGTTGCGTTCTTTGGTCTGGACTGAAAAGGTACCACATTCATTCTCCTTGCTGACACTCACATTCCCACCTGACAAATTAATCGTATTTGTTACGGGATCTGCATTCTTGTTCTCTCCTCCCAGACCTATGCAATATAAAGTCAATTCTCCTTCACATAGTTGCACCAAGTACCTGGAGGACAAGGAATAGGGATACAATTCATTGCTGACCACTTATTTACAGAAGCTTTCTTGCCTTTGTTAAAGCACATTGTTTCATGTCAGTAAGTCTCCATGTTCCTATAACATTTCCTAATGTTATTTCCTAAAGTAACATTTCAAAACTATCCATCTAAAGCATAAAGCCTTTGAGATAAGGACTCAGTCTCATCTGACACTAACATAAAAACGTGCACTTCCTACCCTGCTGTTCCTGTGATCTAATGAGAGTGCTAGGGTTAAGAACAGGATCTGATTACTGACAGAAAGTTACATATATCCTGTAAGTTCTCATCTACACCCCATCCTTTCCACTATTACCCTCGCTCAGTCTCATCTGACACTAACATAAAACATGCACTTCCTACCTGCTGTTCCTGTGATCTAATGAGAGCGCTAGGATTAAGAACAGGATCTGATTACAGAAAATTACATATATCCTGTAAATTCTCATCAACACCCCATCCTTCCCACTATTACCCTCGTTTGCTTGTTTTGGATGCTCTTTTGGACTGTGAGCCTTTAAGGGAATTTTCTGTGTGATTCTGTAGCACATAACAGCACAAGGCTTTAGAGTTTCTGTGTTTTCCAGCTTTTACTGACACCAAGCTACGAACGAGCCGCCCTAATATAACCTGATGCACATTCTTATGGTCCAGTAACTCTCCCCCTTGGAAATGCTTCCACACAGGTATCCTGAATGGCCCTCACATAACAGCACAAGGCTTTAGAGTTTCTGTGTTTTCCAGCTTTTACTGACAAGCTAAAAATGAGCCACCCTAATATAACTTGATGCACATTCTTAAGGCCCAGTAACTCTCCCCCTTGGAAATGCTTCCGCACAGGTAGGTATCCTGAATGGCCCCGGGCCCTTCGTTCCCAAGAGCCACCTGGCAGAATGTGTCACAGTATCCTGGGGGTTTACTTAGAAGTCACTTGGCTCATACTGCCCCAAAGTGTATGTATTACTCTTCAGAAAATAAACCATTCTGGGCACAAATTAGCTGACCAGATGCAGTGGTCATACACTACAGCAGAATCTTATGCCCAAGTCTCCTTTAAAATTCTGCTCTGCTCTTTATAATCCATATAAAGGCTCCATATTCAACAACAACTTTGGGGGTAAACTCTGTGTGGCTTGTATTCTTATTTAAGTATTTGTATTCTCATTTCTTTCGAGGGTTACTGCATTTCTTTATCATTCTGACAGTTCTATCAGACCTTTCTTTCCCTCTTCTTTCTCTTCAAGGTGGGGCTAGTTGATTAAGGGGTTATATGAGGAATTTAAATAAGCCCAGCTGCACCAAAAGAATTAAGCATAAAATATAAATTGCAACTATTCCCACATAAACAGTCAAAGTGATAAGAATTGTTTAATGGAGCTGGCAGTTATATTGATCTCCTCTTTCTTTAAAGCAGGGACTTACAGTTTAATCGTATCTTCAGATGTTTCCACCATTATTTACTTTGCAAAAAAAAAGAAGGGATTAATATCAAGTGGAAAGCAACCAGGGCTTTACTTCACAAGATAAATAAAAATCAATTTTTGTTTGTTAACAAACTTGTTAGATGTTGCAAGGTAACGAATCCTGGGACACACTTGAGGATTATGTTTACAAGACATACAGCAGTAGCTTTTTAAAAACAATTAAAATCATTTTCTGTGAACTGTGAAGTCTTTTGAGATAATTACCCTGTGCAGATAATTGCCGTGTTAATTTTTTTCATTAGTTTTTGCTAGGGAGATTTTCTTTCTCTCACTTCTGTGGCAGTACAAGCATTGTCTCACCATGATAAAACCAGGAGTGCTCTAGAAGCCATCTCAAGGGAAGAGCAGGGTATTTATAGGATGGGTAGCAACCTATGTAAAACCATTGTGGCTAGTTCACTACTTCAGTAACAGACTAAGATGAAGCAAAGTCTTTCTTATTTGTTTCAGCTTAGGGACTGCAAGAAGTGGTGATGACAGCCTACTTCTGATTGAGTGATTCCTTTTTTCCAAAACTACCAACTGTTAGGCCACCTAAGAGTCACGACGGGTCATCTCCAAAGGAGATGAAAGTCAGAATATGAAAATAATGAATTATGAGTTACAAGACAGCCATTTGGGCAGTATGAGTCAAGGAATTACAGCACTCTTACACCCATTTTTTACTTTGCTAGTATTTTTTTTTAGTTTTTCATTTGTCTGAAAATGGAGTAAAAATGTTAAACAAAAAAGCCTCATCATTAAAATCTCTCTGAGCACCATTAGGGTTATATATTTATATTGGGAAAGTATATGGAGTCTCTGGCACACTCCAGCAGCTCATTGTAGTACATACTGCTATCACACTAATGATTAACTTCATATTTTCATCTCATACATTTAAGCATCTATGTTTTAACTAAAAAATAATCAAATAATTATCAAAAAATTGAGTCCTAATTTAAAGCATTTATCAGAAATGTTATTAAAATGCACAGCCCAGAGGTCCACAAAGATAAAGTTCGTACTTCACCCATTCAATGGATGTAAAGCTGTTTTGCTGCAAATCCAGCAGTCCTTCGTGAATCACATCGTATTCTGGAGGTCTTCCAGCATAGGACTCTGCTGGTCTCTTGTATGAATTACTCTGTATAACTCTGCTCAGAAGGTACATTATCTATGCAAGAAGTGACAATAAAGACCATATTTCACATAGCAATTCCCTTGAAACAGACATTAAAAGATAGATTTTTTCTTTAGGGATAAAAACTATAGACAACATTATAAGAAGCATCCAAATAGGTAGAATAATTTAATGTAATAATGCTTTCTATGATGCTAAGATACCTAATTGCAATTTATTATACTCCAAGTTCAACTAGTAATTAATTGACTTATCTTGATATCTCAGATGAACATAATAGAAGAAAAGGCCTACAGTTAAAAATAACAGAGATTAAGTCAGGTGTGAATTCAAACCATTATACAGAGCCATGTTTGAGTGTTTTACAGACAAAAGTACCTTTTGAGTACTGCTGAATATAATCTATTTTAAAATTTAACCTAATCAAGCACAAGCTGCTGTTCATCTGGGAAAAATATTCTCTATATGATGTAAACTAAAAAGTTTCATCAGCAATGACTCTACCTGCAAAAAGCCTTTTACCCATGGGCTACACTGAAACTTTGCAAATGAACTCTTCCCTGCTTTCTTAGGGGTTGCATCTCAACCTAAACTGTGCAGCTTTCTTCAGCACTTCACCAATGGGACAAAAATTCCAGGCGTTGTGCGCCCCTGAATGTTAACACCTATATTTGCACTCAGGTGGAAAGCTGGCTTTTACACTTGAATTTCTCAAATTTCAGTGTAAAGACTAATTATAATATTTGGAATATTTAACTGAACCTGGAATGTAAAAAGAACTCCTCAAAAGCAAGCAATATCTTGCAAAATTTAACTGCACAAAGATTTGGTAATTGTACATATGCTGTCTTCCTCTGATAATTCTATAATTTCAGTAGTTTGATGGTAATAGATGAATTTCTAGTTATTTTTCACAGTATCATGATCTCATTCTTTTTTTCTTAAATGCATCTATTTTTATAAATATTTAACTCATATAGAGTGGAAAGAGCTATCTGGAAAAAATCAATTAAATTTCAGTTGTGCATGTCATCATCAGTTTTGCTTGCCTTTTTTAATACAGTCTCAGAACAACTACATTCAAGGTATAGTTGAAGAAATGCATCCATTTCCTCTTTATCAGTCCTTAGCAGGCCACGCATCTTCAATCACAGAGTGAAAATTAGCAAAGTCCTAAGGCCAAACTTTATCCTGACCTCACATTCCCTTTGCTCCATGAACAAACACATGTGGAATAAAGATATACACACTTCCATGTTAGCACAGCATGCAGCATAACAATGCTTATTTATGGTTGGGGCCTACTGGATATTACAGAAATATTGTTTGCTATCTATAATAATCTATTACCTTCCTTTTATCGTCAAGAGACACTGCTTCCAACTCATAATCTTGGCGCCCATGAAATACAATGCTGAAGCGCCTCCTTTCAGCATCTTCACAGGCTTTGACTTGTGAGAAGGGAAACTGTTTCTTAATAATTCCTTTTTCAATGTTAAAAATGGTCTTTGTGTTGAAATCAATCTGGAATAAAAAAATTCATCATTACCTTATTCCATCTTTTCTGTTCATTGAACAGGAGAGTATCTCCAATAACAACAAGTGCAAAGCCATCTTTTCTGTTCATTGAACAGGAGAGAGGGTATCTCCAATAACAACAAGTGCAAAGGTATTTAGATAAAGTACCAGCACAGAATATGTATCTACTTTGCCAATAAAAGATGACATTCCATCATCAAGATACTGTACTATATTTATTTTAGCTACAAAACAAATATATATTCATTGTTATTGTTTCTCTGTATCTTTTGATAAATACACATCAATTTATCACTCTGAAGTATTATTATTTTGGAATTTCTTTCATCTTATACACCCCAGTGTAAATACTTCCCTTTCAGCAGTAGTGGCAGCACAAACTATTGGCATGACCAACTCAGCAGAGATTCAATTATATCGGATTCAACCTATGCCCCAGCACTAAAACGAAGTGAAGCTGGTTGCTCTTATCCAGCAGCTTCTGCGTCAGGAAAAAAGGAATTCTATTGGGAGCTACTTTCTCTCATAAACATTGTGGTGTTTTGCTTTAGACCTGACTGACACAGATTTCTTCTTGTATGTGTGTATATTATATATATACACATATATATGTATGTTTGTGTGTGTACATATACACATATGCCCATATACACACACATATACACACACCTATGTGTAGGGAGACTCAGTAGAGGAAGTGTCACTACTCCCAAAATACTTTTAGTCTAAAAGGTAGAAAGCTGGTTCAGTATCTTGTACTGCTGTGATAGATTTTAATTATGGACATATACTGAACCACAGAAAATACTAAACTAGTTTCATCACTCATTGAGTATGATGTATTTCTTCAAAAGTGAGAATTTTAAAATTACCTGCAAAATTCGTTTCTGCCACCGATAGTGTTTGTACTTGTAGATACTGAAGTTAAATTGTGAGCCAGTTAGCAAATCATGTGAATCCTGAAAACAAACAAACAAACAAAAAATCAGCAGTACGTCCACTCTGCATTACCTTTTATCCACTAGATTCAATAGTGCTCTTAGGCTAAATCCCACTCTGCGAACCATGTTCAAGCAAAGCTGGAGGCTTTGCAGAGGAGCTGTGAAGATGCATGGCAATGCCTTCTTGTTCTGATTTTTACAAGTCCAAATACCCACAACTTCTGCTGAGTTAATAAAGGGATAAAAGATTGGGATGGAAGGCAAAAGTAGAGCTGAAAACAGGAGGGGAGGGTCTGCAGGGAGACGTGAGCAGAGTCCCTGGGACTGTACATTTCAAAACATATGTGTATAAGCAGTTTATTAAACAGACTGGCAAAAAAGACCATATCTGACTTTAAAGAAAAATGTGTACAAATCCTTGAACAGGGTACAGTAAAAAGGCAAATACTTGTTCACACTGTACAAGGATATACATCTGCCATCTGGCCTCAGTGCTAGCTCTGCCACATGCACGATAACCTTTGAAAAAATATACTCAGTGTTGGTGCAGTGAAGGGATGGTCATGATAAAACTATATTAAATTTGATTTTGTTCTAATAATTAGTCATCCCAATGGCTTTAGTAGAGCAGTAGTGCAGAAGGGACCTCTTCTGGCATGTTACTCTAACAGTCACTCTATAAAAAAAGTGTCTTGCTAATTAGGGGATTTCCTTTGCAACAAAGGCATATCCTTTCAATTTGCATGCAGTGACAGGGTCTCTTTGGTGTAAAAATAAGAGGAAAGCTGAAATCTAACTTACAGTTATTCTTCCATCTCTTCTGCTTCATTTACCAGTATTGTAAGTTCTTAAACCAACAGTTATCTCCCAAAGTCTTGCTGTTAACTTATTTTTTCCTCCTGCACTAAAGAGGCTCTGAGATTCAGAATTGAGAATTTTTATTTTTTAGGGGTTTTGTTTTGGGTTTTTTTGACTTGAAACATGCAGTAGGACTCATGATTGCTGGACATGTCTGCATATGGCTAAGAGCAAAATGGCCAAGAGCAAAAAAATGATAGCAATGGTAGTTTTTAGCTAATTTTAGATGTTTTTAAAGGATTTTAAATGAACAAAGAAAAGCTTTAACAGTAGAAAAAAATGAAATATTTGTGTTTGATCTTTAAGAAATCTCTGGACTAGACCCTTTGGTCTTGCTGCCTATGCTCAGCAAAGGTTTGTTTTTGCAGGGTCAGAGGAAAAAAAAAAAAAATAGTTCTTAGCCTTGTGACACTGATTCCGCTCTTGGCTGATGGAGGGTGACAGCCAACCAGAGGCTGAATTAGAATTCAGGTCCCAGTGCCCTAAACTTGGCATTTTGTGGCCATCCTGTGGAATGCATAACTGAGACACCCCAGACCCTGTGCTGAAGACCCAAGGACAACACAACACCAGGAAGCCCCTCAGATCCACTGTTTTTCTGAGATTCTTTGGTGAATAACCAAGGATTTTGCTGTACCTACTTTTATTGGTACATACTTTTATCACCGCATTCAGAGACTAGGAAATATGTGAACACATTTAATCTACATTTAAACTAGATTTAACCTACTTAACATCGCTGTAGCCTCACCACTTACATGGGAATGTCACTTAAGATACAGGCAGCACAAGTGTGACAGAGGAGTCCAACCATGACTACCTGATCTGTTTGGTTATAAATGGGGTTTATAGGCTTGCATACTGGGACGATCTTTAAAAGCAGCAGAGATATGCTCCTAACACACAAATAGGCCTTCCAGAATACACTCTTACACTTGAATGTCTTGCAAAACAGGTCAAAGCAGTGACCTTACCTTTTCAGCATACACCTCTTTCTGTGCCAAATGCAAAGCTCCCTCAATGCTCACTTCTTTATTTTTCACCATGTTCATAATTTTGAGGATTTTTTCTTGATTTAGCTGTAAAAAAAAGCCAATCAAATATTTTAAGGACTGATTTTTTAATCTGGCTAGTGAGGATACACAGTACTTGTGACACTTAGAGCTCCAATACCTGCCATAAAATTACAATTTCATTCATATTTTATGTTCTAACCTACCTAGCAAATACAATCTCTCTTTGAAACAGGGTGAGAGCCTACAAGATATCAAATATACAGGTACTTCTACAATTGTAAAAGATGGGGTGGTAACATCTGGAGGTAGAACTGCCAGGAGGAAATCTTTTTTACCTAGAAAATGTAGTAAGAAGTGAAAACATCAATTTTGCATGCTCACCTGTGTCTTACCCATAGTGTAAAATAGCGCATACAAATACCATGAAAGCTACATCAGGATCTTTGGAGATTTTCGGGGTGCAGACGCTGCAGCCGCTTTGCCAGGAGCACCAACACTGCAGGGCACAGCCCCACAACGAGCCCCACGGCCAGCAGGTCCCAGAGCCAACATATCAATAACCCCTCATGTGACAGTGACCACAGACCGTTAAATCCACAAGTTACATTTTTTTTTTCCAAGCCCCACTGTGTTAAACATGCTTAAGCTTAGGGAATTTCCAACATATGAATCTGCTCCTGATCAACAGATGCGCTATATTTTTTCACAGCCTACAAATAAAACTAGAGTAAAAGAAGAAATATTTTGTTTTCAAAGCCTCGGGATTTTCATTGCTAATATAAAGGTAACTTACGGCACAGCTCCCAGCTGCAAATAGCAATGCAAACATTGAGGAAAATAAAAGCAGTTTGGTAATTCATTTGTACCTGCTAAGGCGCATAAGGTTCCTACAGTGCCCTCCACGTCCTGGTTTTGAATTTTAAATGGCCATATATTTACACCACACATACACTGCATACGATTAGGTTTTAAGAAGAAAATTCCCCACTGAACAGTCCCTGCATAAGCAAACAAGAACATGGATATATCTGAATTGGAAAAAGAGAGTTTCCTTAGGCCTAAACTCTGCCAACTTTAACATGCAAAGTCCTATTTATACAGGACAGCTTTCCTGGCAAGTTTGTTGGTATGGTCACAACAGTTAGATCCTTTTGCACAGTAAAGGGTTCAAAAATTTGGCACCAGGATGAAAATGGTAACATAAAGCTTCATGTTATAGAACAGTCTGATTCATACAAACAAAAAACAATTTATCTCTTTCGCTTTAGTGCACAATACAATGCTTTTACTTAATTTTCCTTTAACTTTGATTGCAGTGTTTGACAGCACAATATATTGTGCATATTTGTAAGGATGTTTCCTAAGAGGGGCCAAAAAGCAAGAGTTGTAACTTGCAAAATGTGAAGTTTGGAACTTTTTTCTAGGCTATAGGTAACTCAGGTTACCATCCCTGTTCTCCTTCCTGCTAGCAGAGTCCACACTCTGCACTGCTTGAAGCCCTGGGCACATTAGGATTTGCATTTCCAACTAAATACTCCATCTTGGACCAAGAAACATTGCCACAATATGCCTAACAAAATCGAAATTTTCGTGTAATTCACCACTGACAAAAAACAGATAGACTTCTCTTCTGCATTACTGAAAATTTTCCCAATCTCTTTTTTTGTTTTGTTTTGGCATACTGTATGTAGAGTAAATGCATTATGGGTTCCACAAATATATATATATATATTCTTTTGCTTATTATCACCAGTCTCCTTTACTCTAGAATGAAGCTCTAAAACACAAAAAAAACCTTCTAATTTTCTTAATAATGTATCAAGCAAGTGGTCGCATAAGCTAAGTGAATCATGTTATATATTGCAAATTCGAGCAGGTTAGTAAGTTACGCTGCTGACAGTTAATGCATTCCCCAGAGAGCACAGAAAAGACAGCCCTTGGTTCAGGTTATTTTTAAGGGCACCCTGTTGTTCTAACGTCTCTGGTAACTCCCTCTCTCTGCACATCTGTAAGCAGGACAGAAACATTTCAAAAGATGAAAGAGGCAAAAAAGGCACTTTTCAGCTTATGAGATCTGTCAAAATTATTTGTCAGAAGTCTGTCTGGCTTGCTCAGGTTTTTGACAGCCGTGCGTTAGCATGGTATTTTTACTTGCAAGCAAGACTTGAGTAACAGATCCTGACCTTTATGGTTTTGTAACTGTGGGGTTTTTCTCCCAGCACATCACAATTTTTGTAATGCTCATTTTAATGTTTGTTTTGGTTGCATTTTTTTCTCAAAAAGAAATGATTTTTGTCAAATTATCCACTGAAATGCCACTAAGTCACATCGTGTTATATTGTCTGATGGAAAGTGACTGGTGCAACCAAACAGAACATTTTTATACAAGGTTGGATAACAAAATTGTTAAAAAAAGAAAATGAATATTTCCATTTTGAAAAGTGCACATAAGGGAAAAACATGAGTTTCCATTAATAATGTATTCCCTTATCTGCCAGGTTAAAGAAGTTGTTTAGTACAGATTAAAATTTTACTACCCACCCAAAACTCAATAAGTATATATCTGATTTGAGAGAAAAAATGAGCCTTCACAATTGAAGGAAAAGTGTGGGGCTCCAGGAAATCTCCCTAAATCCATTATTCTGCAGATTTTTGGCCTGGACATGGTGTAAGATGTGATTAATGGAGGGCTATGAGCTCTGTGGCTTGTTCTTGGCCCACAGCCGGGTCGCAGCCGCCTCGAGCCCCTTTGGAACCTCCTGCCCTTCCCCGGTTCCCCAGCCCATCTCACCAGGGGCTCTGCGGGCAGTGGGAGGTTGCACATATAGTCACCAGGATGGGATGAATACAACCCTAATGACTCCTCCTAGGCCTTCTGAGCACTGACCAAGCAGAAAGGGTTAAAGCCACTTTATCTGAACCTTTTAAAGCAGCCTGAACAAAGCAGCAGAAGGTAAGAAGGACTATGAGAAAGTTCATAGGAAAGGCTAACGCCTCCTTTATCTGCTTGCCTTACCATCGATCCCACAACACGCACCAGTGCAGGTCCCACCAAGCTCTTCCCTGCCCTCAGAGATACCAAGGCATGTCCACATGCAGGAGCTTTTGCTCAGCTCATTCCTATTCTGTGGACCATCACACCTGAATCATAATATGATAGCAATCTAATATAAAAAAAGATTATTTGCATGTGTGCACATCCGCCTCGGAGATGTAGAAATCTGGCTGTCAGTCAGCCCTACATATAATCTCTATTATTACAAATACTGGCACAACTCATGAGACCTTTTCTCGGGTGACAATCATATCTAAAATGCACTCAGCTCTATCATTTCCTGTGGCAACAAAGCCAAGTCAAGTAGAAATCCTGCTCCTTGTGCAAAAGGGGTGACATTTTCATTCTAAGCTAGTGAAGCCAGCCATTGCTAAGCATTTCTTACCTTGCTCCTCGCTACATATTAACAGTTAAACTTGCTCCTCTGCTCCAAGAGGCAAGACATAAAAGAGTTTCTGGCTGCTGTGGGACCCAGAATATGTTCTTCACCCTTCACACCACACAGAAGAATATTCTTTTTAGCACTGCAAAGGACCAGTTCTCCAAAAGACAGAGGGGCTCAGGCCAAGAAGGAAGATGCAAGCAGCAGCTGTGTCTGGCCTTACAGACATATCCTGAATTTCTGGGCGTAAATCAGACTGAATGCAAGTATTGCCACACAACATGAGACAGGCTGCTTTAACATGCATGCCTGAATTTTTTATATCTAGCAAAGGGTCATATTTTCATTTTACAGCCCAGCTTTTCAAAAATGTCTCTTACTAGCAGAAGATTCTGTATTCTATGCAGCAAAGCAGGATAAAGTGACTTTGAGGTGAAGCTTCTGGGTATTTTGTCTTGACTCCCTGCTTTCCAGCTACAGAACGCAACACTTTCTGCAAAGCAAATACAATAGAAAGACTTAAAAATAGGCGTTAGGATACAACGCAGTGATTAACTTATGATGAAATTTCAAGTAGCAACTTCTTTGCCTCAAACTGTTTTTAATCAAAAGCACTGGCGGGGTTTATTATGAATATTTGCCTTGAATTCCATTCCGCCTGCATGTTGAAGATGCCATTTAGTTACTTCAAACACAATGGACACAATGGGGATTACTGTAAAAGTTCCAGTCTAATGTCCTCAACTTTTGTCTCTTGCTGCATTCACTGACACCAGCTGCAAATGTGCCCAAAGTTGACTGAACTGCCGCTTGCAGAAGAGCTGCTGTTTTCTAGGATAGGGTATCAGAAAAGCATACACTTGTAATTTACATGAAATAGCAGTACAGATGACTGATGTGATATTTTTATGTGACAAAACCATCTTTTGTAGCCAGTCATAAAGATTATTTGTCAAATAGTGCTGCTATTCATCAAATAAATTATCCATCTGTAATAATGTTTTGCATTATTTGTTCAGATCTATATCTGGCTGAATAATATCTGTCAAGATTTATTCAAAGAAGAAGATATTCATCAAAGAATAGCTTGATTTCCTTGAAAACCCTGAAAACTCTGCCAATTTCAATAGCAGCTAGAGGAGGTCGAAGATATTTTATTGTAATTTATTATTTTACTGGTATAACTCTACCTTGTTCCATTTTTGAATATTACTCCATATTGAGAAGTCTCAATAACTACACATTTCACAAAGTTCTCCCTGAAAAACTGATGATTTACAGCTCGAAATATGAAGCAATTATTTTGGTGTTTCCCTGGATCACCATTTAACAGAGCTGGATATTCACAGCAGAATCCTGCTGTACTGACAGATTTGGAACCTGTTAGAAAACGATATTCAAAGTAATTACCAGAGTTTCACTGTCAAAAATCAAAGGATGTGCTGAACAGTGTTGCACAGGAGGCTGACTTGGTTTTGTACTATTCCATGTTTTCATTAATGACCTGAGTGATAGACTAGAGGTTTTGTTTATTAAATTTGCAGAATTTGACATGAAAGTGGAGAGAACTGCAAGTTGCAAAGAGGAGTGAAA